CCCAGATTTTGCTTGTGGGGGCTAATAGAACAGCCTTACATATTTTGTTCTCTCCTGATTCTATGTATGATTGGCTGTCGTGTGAGGTGGGGATGTTGGATGAGCTTGTAGCTGGTTTTTGATCTAGACTATATGGTCCTTCATACAGTCTAGGGAAGCAGTACATTGCTGTGCATACCTAAGCATGTTAAAAAATACGTTGTTTGAGAAGAGTCTTGTAGAAACTGGTAAGAGTAGTTATAATATAATGTTTCCCTGATTCAGTGCTTACCTCTTGTAAAAATCGTGAAGATGTTTAGTCAGAGTTCATTTTTATGTATTGAGGCTGGTATTTTTTCCCTTGATTCCATGTATAATAATAATAATAATATTAATAATAATAATAATAATAATAATTTATTTAGGAAAAGTACATACATTTTTTTTATTTTTTTTTTTATTTTATTTATTTATATACAAGAAGGTACATTGGGTTTGTGAGAATACATAGCATGGTACAGTAATTGCACTCTTGTAAAGCCACTAGTACGCGCAGCGTTTCGGGCAGGTCCTTAATCTAACAGATAATTTTAAGTAGGTAAATTCTATCAGAATTAATAAAATGATAACAAATACATTGCAAGAAAAAAAAATGAGATGAGAGAGATTAGTAAGTATATTAAAGCACATTGGTATATTAAAGCTCTGATTGGTTACATTGACAGCTTGATTGGTAATTTAAACAAGATTAATAGACACCATACAGCAGATTGACAGTACATATAAGAAGACAACAATGATCGCAATGATAAAGATGTTCAGATTTGGTACATAAAGATTGGGAGATTGGGTAGCAATAGATACAGTGCAGTTTGAAAGCAAAAGGTAAAAAACTATGAAGATGAAATTAGGTACTTTTTAGTATTGTTTTTGAATGATGCAAAAGTTGGACAGCTTTTCAATTCATTAGGGAGTGAGTTCCATAGACTAGGCCTCTTTATTTGCATAGAGTGTTTACACAAATTAAGTTTGACTCTGGGGATATCAAAGATATATTTATTTCTGGTGTGGTGATAATGGGTCCTATTACATCTGTCCAGGGAGAGTTTCAGAGCAGGATTTGCATTTAAGAACAGGGTTTTGTAAATGTAGTTGACACAGGAGAATTTGTGGAGTGAGATTATGTTTAGCATGTTTAGGGAGTTAAACAAGGGGGCTGGGTGTTGTCTGAAAGCAGAATTTGTTATTATTCTGATAGCAGATTTTTGCTGGGTAATGATGGACTTGAGGTGCTTTGCAGTGGTTGAACCCCATGCACAGATACCATAATTAAGATAGGGATAGATTAGTGCATAATATAGAGAGATGAGAGCAGAGTTAGGTACATAATATCTGATTTTGGAGAGTATACCACCTGTTTTAGAGACTTTCTTAGTTATGTGTTGTATGTGGGGTACTGAAGTTGAGTCTCTTGTCTAGGAATAGGCCAAGAAACTTTCCATCATTTTTATTGCTAATGTTTACATTGTCTATCTGAAGCTGAATTGCATTTGTAGATTTACTTCCAAATAAGATGTAGTAGGTCTTTTCTATGTCTTTTATATGAAGGTCTTACATAGATGCAGAGTTACAGTACATACATTCTGTTCGATTTATAGATAGAGGTAGTACATACAATACTTATAGCCACTAGTACGCATAGCTAAAAATGACACAATAACCTAAACCTAAAAGACACAATACTATAAAGTATGTGTCCCCACCTAAATGACACATTATGCGTCACTATCACTTATGTGCCCGCACACAGACAATTTAATATATACAGAGAATGAGATATAAGAGCGTGAGTGGGCAGTGGCCATCGCCCCACAATGAAATATTATCACTGTTGACGACAGGGGCGGCGCCTCTCCCGCTACACACAAAAATGTCACCGTAAATCCCAAACAAATTCTCTAGTATTGTAAGCAGGAAAATGAGGGGTGGTGTCGCTCAGAGGAGCGAGCGGTCGGGGAGGAACCTGCCTCTCAGCGAGAGGTAATGTGTAGTGGCGTCACTCTTAGTCTATGCCAACCTTTTGTCTCACAACTTCGTCAGCGCCCGGGCGGGCCAGCATCGCCTGTTGTGAAGTGATGCCCGTCCTCCGTCCCCACCGGCGGGTATGTCACCACGCGCATGTATGCATGAGGCTGCTGAAATGTTAGCATGTGTCCAGGTTTGGAGGAGCAGGTGTGGTCTAGATGTGTCCAGGTCTGGAGGAGCAGGTGTGGTCTGGATGTGTCCAGGTCTGGAGGAGCAGGTGTGGTCTGGATGTGTCCAGGTCTGGAGGAGCAGGTGTGGTCTGGATGTGTCCAGGCCTGGAGGAGCAGGTGTGATCTGGATGTGTTCAGGTCTGGAGGAGCAGGTGTGGTCTGGATGAGTTCAGGTCTGGAGGAGCAGGTGTGATCTGGATGTGTTCAGGTCTGGAGGAGTAGGTGTGGTCTGGATATGTTCAGGTCTGGAGGAGTAGGTGTGGTTTGGATGTGTCCAGGTCTGGAGGAGCAGGTGTGGTCTGGATGTGTCCAGGTCTGGAGGAGCAGGTGTGGTCTGGATGTGTCCAGGCCTGGAGGAGCAGGTGTGATCTGGATGTGTTCAGGTCTGGAGGAGTAGGTGTGGTCTGGATGTGTTCAGGTCTGGAGGAGTAGGTGTGGTCTGGATGTGTTCAGGTCTGGAGGAGTAGGTGTGGTCTGGATGTGTTCAGGTCTGGAGGAGTAGGTGTGGTCTGGATGTGTGGAAAATTCCGACCAAATTTATAGTATAACATGTCCGAATAACATGGTCTATGAGAGCACGTGAACCAGGCATGGCTATTTATAACAAGCCAAGCTCTCCTAAGACTGTGTCAGGTCAGAGGAATCTATAATGTTTCTATACTAGTATATGTAATTAAATATAATAGCTATAAGCATAAGTGTAATACTCCAAAATACATACATATACTCAATAAATAAACCAGATATGTTTAGTTAACGATAGTATGTGTCGATCCTTAAAACAGGAAGGGTAACTATACCCACCTTGATGTGGATTCCACTAGTGTCGAGACGCTGCTGCGAGAGTAAACACGATCCCACCCCTTTAAAAAGACACCTTGGATGGGCCTGGTTCAACCTTGACGCCGAGCGGACGTCTGGATGCCTCCTCTTCCTGGGAGCCTCCGGATCACGTTTTGCTTTGCGATTTGGATTTGATACTGCTGTTTGGCATCCTTGTTCAACGATCCCGTTATACGACGCCTGGCGCTCATATTGCCTTGGGGTCACGGGATTATTGGTAGAATTTTTTTGTGACGTGTTCTGGCTGGTTCTCACGGCGGGGTGACGGTGTCCGGTGCCGGCTTGGCCCAGAGGTGCCGGGAGTTGGTGGAGTCTTGGTGGCTCCTGGTGTGCTCTTAGGTGAGATGGGCGGCCAGCCCTGCTGTGCCAGAGGGCACTGGATGACTTTTGCGTTGTAGTTAGGGGCCGCGATTTTAGTTTGCTACCGAGTGTTATCTGTGTGGAGTGGGGCCGGTGCTAGTCACCCTGAGGGACTCCTGCGGCTCCCCAATCACCTGCCTGTCTGCGTTTCTTTGCCGCAAGGCATATTAGTTTTCAGTGATTGGCGTCACTCGTTTCGCGACTCGGCTTGGCCTTTCATCGTTAACCCTTAACGGGTACCCCGGGGCGCATCCGATCCCACGATCGTCGTCGCCCCTAAATAAACAAGAACGCACATTAGATGTACAAGCTGCCGAATTTCGGCTGTATGATATCTGTAGACCTTTGTATGGTGGTGTAAACTACACATACAAGTGTTTAAACATTAAGGCACACGGTAAATAGTGTTTTAAGTGTGTGTCTTGCCATACACTGTTAAGAGGAGTGTGAGGCCACACCGACGCCAGACTCCCTCACACCAGTAAACGCCCAACTACCGAATGAAGACACACCACGGATATACAAGCAGCTTAATTTCAGCTGTTCTATATCCATGGACCTTTGTATGGTGGTATAAATTACACATAAAAGTGTATAAAAGGCAAAACACTCTATTTTAAAAAGACTTAAATGTGTGTCTTGCCTTAAACTGTGAGGTGGACTAGTGCTACTGAACCACACCTAACGCCAAGAGCCGACGGGGTCCAGGAGACGCCAGTACAACACCACTTCAACAACGGTAGTGAACAACACTACACGCTCTGGCACAACAAGAGGGTTAAAGCTTAGCAAAATAAGACTGAGAGCGCCATAGTACAACATAAAATAAGGGAGGTTGGTGGTGTTACTAGAGATTTGGATCTAGGTTATATATAATGGGCTTACGAGCCCACCTCAGTAAGTAAATTACTTGCCACTTTAATCAATTAAAAATATATTAACTAGCTTAATCAATATTTAACAAATTAATATTGCATATATTGCAATTGCTTAAAGATAAATTAAAGCATACATTTGCAATAGATAAATTTATAGCAATAAAGAATTAAATAACCAATCTTGCCATTGTTTATAATATTCATTAATGACAAGATACCAGAATTAAAAGGATAGGATAAAATAATTTATAATCATACCAGGGCTAGCTGCATTATACACATTTTTATTTTTACCAGATGGTAATGTGTGGTTATTCCAATCCGGCAGGTAAATGAAAGCAGCACCATTCCTGTTGGGTCTCCTTAATAGAGAGCCACCTACGGAACACTGAGACAACACATACAGTCCACTAAACAAAGAATAAGACATCAGTTTTCGTAGAGGTTACTGGATATGACTACTATCACCGTAGACAGCTAAGTTGGCTGATACGTTAGTAGAGAGATCTATACTTTAGGGAGTCAAAAATTAAACCCATTGGATGTGTCAAGGCCGTGAGGAGCAGGTGTGGTCTGAATATACCTTGCAGCGCTGTAGGAGTAGGTGGTGATCTGGATGTGTCCTGCAGGACTACTGGATGTGACTAGGTCTGAAAGAGTAGGCTGTAGTCTGGATGTTACTAGATCAGTAGGAGTAGCTAGTAATCTGGATGTGTCCTGCAGGACTACTGGATGTGACTAGGTCTGAAAGAGTAAGCTGAAGTCTGGATGTTACCAGATCTGGAGGAGTAGCTAGTAATCTGGATGTGACCAGGCCTGGAAGAGTTTGTGGTGGTCTGGATGTGACCAGGCCTGGAAGAGTTGGTGGTGGTCTGGATGTGTCTAGGCCTGGAAGAGTTGGTGGTGGTCTGGATGTGTCCAGGCCTGGAAGAGTTAGTGGTGGTCTGGATGTGTCTAGGCCTGGAAGAGTTGGTCGTGGTCTGGATGTGTCCAGGTCTGGAAGAGTTGGTGGTGGTCTGGATGTGACCAGGTCTGGAAGAGTTGGTGGTGGTCTGGATGTGTCTAGGCCTGGAAGAGTTGGTCGTGGTCTGGTTGTGTCCAGGCCTGGAAGAGTTTGTGGAGATCTGGATGTGTCTAGGCCTGGAAGAGTTGGTCGTGGTCTGGATGTGTCCAGGTCTGGAAGAGTTGGTGGTGGTCTGGATGTGTCCAGGTCTGGAAGAGTTGGTGGTGGTCTGGATGTGTCTAGGCCTGGAAGAGTTGGTCGTGGTCTGGATGTGTCCAGGCCTGGAAGAGTTGGTCGTGTTCTGGGTGTGACCAAGCCACGAAGAGGAACTGGTGGTCGGAATGTACTCAGTTAATTGTGCTTCCTCCCCCCCCCCCTCCCAAGCTAGCACAATTTTGAACTTCGGCTCTCTGGCCCAGCCCTCTCAACTGTCAATCAATTGACAGTTGAGGTTCAGGTTCAGAGCCTACTGGGCTCTATCATATATGAATCTGTGTATGGAGTCTGTCTCCACTACATCAGTGCCTAATGCATTCCATTTATTAACCACCCTGAATCTGAACAGGTATTTATAATGTCTCTGTGGCCTATTTGGGTACTCAGTTTCCACCTGTTTCCTTTTGTGCGAGTATCACCCATGTTCAATAATCTCTCCCTTATCTATCCTGTCAATTCCTCTGAGAATTTTGTATGTCGTGATCATGTTTCCCTTAACTTTTCTGTCTTCCAGCGACGTGAGGTGCAATTCACACAGCCTTTTCTCATAACTCATGCCTCTTAGTGCTGTAACTAGTCAAATGGCATACCTTTGAACCTTCTCCAACATCGTCTTATGCATGACGATATATGGACCCCATGCTGGAGCTGCATACTCCAAGACTGGTCTGACATATGTGGTTTACAAGGTACTAAATAATTCCTTTCATAAATTTCTAAAGGCAGTTCTGATTTTAGCCAGCCTTACATAAGCCGTTTTTTTATGTGGGTTTCAAATGGGGGCCTGACGGTTGAGTGGACAGAGCTCGGGATACGTAGTCCTGAGGTTCCGGGTTCTATCCCAGCGGAGGCGGAAACAAATGGGCAGAGTTCCTTTCACCTGGATGCACCTGTTCACCTAGCAGTAAATAGGTACCTAGGAGTTAGACAGCTGTTACGGGCGGCTTCCTGAGGTGTGTAACAAAAAAGGAGGCCTGGACGAGAACCGGGCCTCGGGGACACTAAGCCCCGAAATCGTCTCAAGATAACCTTCACTAGACAGGTTCGGTGTAATATGAACTCCTGGATCGTAGTTGTTAAGATATAAATCTCGTCCCAACCACATACTCTAACTTTGACAGATCACTCGGGTGGGTGCAAAAGACTTGTAAATCATTTCATAAAATATACAAACACATTTGCTTGGGTTTTTATCTTACGTTATTAAGTCTGCGAGAAGACATTATTATTAATAAATAATATTGGTAATAATGATAATAATAATAATAATAATAATAATAATAATAATAATAATAATAATAATAATAATAATAATAATAATAATAATAATAATAATAATAATAATTATTATTATTATTATTATTATTATTATTATTATTATTATTATAATAATAATATAGGATAAAAACCCACACTTGTGTATTTGTGAAGTTTATGTAAGGAATTTACACCAAGTCTTTCACACTCTCATGAGTGCTTTGTCAAGGTCTGAGTGTGTAGTTAGGACGAGACTTACATCTCAACGTCTAGTCCTTGCACTGTATCTACATTTCGCTTCCAGTAGATGAACGACATATGAGATTCAGAAACAAGTAGTGTATTGTGTGGACTAATAATAAACAGAAGCTCCCCTATGACTCTGTAATATCCCCATTGGTCAAACTATTATGTATTAGCGATAAGACCTACCATTAATGTATGATGACTTACTGTAAATATACAGCTCTTGAAATAGCACTTCTCTGTAACTAGCTGACATTGTAACTATAAGGTGTGAAGGATAGATCAAATTGCTTATGTAATAATCTAAGATGAGGTCTGATAAAGACCTTTTGTGCCCTCTGTAATGCTTTTGCGCTACCGCTCACAGGATGAGTATGGGGTGCACAATAAACTAGCCGCCTTCGGCGGCAACAATCAAAAACAATCTCAACGTCTAATGAGGCTGCTATCCGTTGTTTTTATAGATTCAGCTACTCGGAACACGTTCCAAGTACCACAGGATATGATGAGCCCGTAGCTTACCTGGCACAGGGGCGGGGCAAGTACCACGGGCCATGGTGAACCCGAAGTGGGCTTACCAGGCACAGGAGCGGTGCTGTGTGTGTGTGTCGGCTGCTATCCTGTGTCCAGTCCTCTTATCCTTCTTGACCGCCTGACCAGGTCACCCCCCTACTGCCTGACCGGGTCACCCCCTACTGTCTGATCAGGTCACCCCCAACTGCCTGACCAGGTCACCCCCTACTGCCTGACCGGGTCACCCCCTACTGTCTGATCAGGTCACCCCCAACTGCCTGACCAGGTCACCCCCTACTGCCTGACCGGGTCACCCCCTACTGTCTGATCAGGTCACCCCCAACTGCCTGACCAGGTCACCCCCTACTGCCTGACCAGGTCACCCCTACTGCCTGACCAGGTCACCCCCTGCTGCCTGACCAGGTCACCCCTACTGCTTGACCAGGTCACCCCGACTGCCTGACCAGGTCACCGTCTACTGCCTGATCAGGTCACCCCCTACTGCCTGACCAGGTCACCCCCTACTGCCTGACCAGGTCACCCCCTACTGCCTGACCAGGTCATCCCCTACTGCCTGACCAGGTCACCCCCTACTGCCTGACCAGGTCACCCCTTACTGCCGATGTACCTGCGGTAATGTCTTCTACAGAGTTATGGTCACATGACCTTTCTGTAATCCTGCTGTTCTTGGACCTGGAGTTGTTATTACTTGAGGTGTTCATCTGGATGTTATCCCTCGTAACCCTTTCCATACACAAAGGAACGTGGCTAATGGGACTGCTTTCAGTCATCCATTTATTGACATCTAATTTTAATTCACTCAGAATAATTTTCCCAGTAAAATTATCATCGGAAGTAAGGCTTTTGTTACCAACGAAAGTATTCAGAGAATGTTTTAGTACCCCTTCCACTACCCTTCTAATTATAATCTTATTAAGTTTATAGATTATTTCACATTTCATAGATTATTTCACATTTCCTAAAATCAATATTGTTTAGTGACTCGTCTTTCCTAGAAGCTGAACTTAAATACTTATATAAGAGATTTTTGGATTTAGGTTATCCATCGTGGTTCATTGAAAAAGCACACAGTAAAGCTAAAGACATCCTTTACATTATAACTGTGAGACGCCCTTTGAATCCTCATAAGAAAATGGTTTTGAAATTGCCTTATAATCTTCTTTTAATTAAAATGATCCGTAAGGACCGACATATAATTTTATGTCTCGTATCCGTAACGTAGCGGATACAAGACATAAAATCGTTTTCAATTACCCAAATACAATTAGGGAAAGGATTAGTAAGAATAGAGTAGGAGAGGATAGTAATCGGGGAGGAGTTTATATATTACCTTGAAGATATTGTAATGACGTCTATGTGGGGAAACCAAGGCGAAAACTAGAGATCAGAAATGAGGAACATAAGAAAGCATATAAAAGAATCACGGCTGGTAATGGTGCTGTAGCAAACCATAGTTGGGAAAAGTATTACAATATTGATTTTAAGAGAAGTGAAATAATCTATGAAAGTAATAATATTAGAACTAGAAGGGTTCCAGCTCCCAAGCCGGTACAATCACGGTGCAGGCTTCCCATACCACCTGCACCCAACCACACACGTGACACTGAAGATAGCGATGCTGAGCGTGATAACATAGACACCTCAGCGGCGTATCATCCTCCACGCACCCATGATAACCAAGCAAAGCCTTGGAAGTCAAACGCCACTGAAACACATAACTCATGATTTAAGCTTGTCAACAGAACCTGCTCAACTCCTTAGTTCACGTCTTGATGCAAGCAATTTATTTGCACATGAAACGTCATACTTGTGGTTCTGCAAACGAGATGAAGAGTTTCATGACTGTGAGCACACACATGTGGGTGTATGATGGCTGGGAGCACACATGTGGGTGTATGATGACTGGGAACACACATGTGGGTGTATGATGACTGGTGTCGGAAAATCCGACACCATTTAATAATAATATCATACATACAGATAATAGCTGTATTACCAACAAGTTACCCATAGAAAACGTAACTTGTAGTGGAATTACCGTCTATAGAAAACGGGATATCATCACCACATACTATTATAATTCACCAGCTATTCTGCTGGGAATTATTCTTAAATACATTAGTCTTTGGACTTTACCATCATAAAAACATCTTATATAAAATAACTTAATTATCAATATTAAAGTAGAGTAAATGTAACCCTTCTATCACTTTCTGAAATCTGGACAAAGTAGGCCAGGCGTCAGGGGGGAAGGAGGGCAGCCATTGTTGTTATATGAGACCAGAGGCTCACACGGGAGCAAATTCGGCTCCTGTTAAATTTACTTGGACGTAGTGTTATGGAACCCAAAGGTGTACCATTGTCAACACGCTGTCTACAAATACAAGTTAAGTGTCTATCCGAAACCCGTTTATCATTCATTTATGGCCATTAATGTCAGGATATAGGGTTAGCCGGTTAGAACGCGAAATCGCCTCATACTAAAGGTAATTAAGCCAGGTCTTTAATGTTCCATGTACTGTATAGTGTTTTCTCTGATATAGCTTGTCATATATAGGATTCTGGCTTCACAGCTAGCGCACTTTTGACAGGTCAAGACGAGGATGCAAGATTATGTGCACCAGTTACTGGGTGATGGAAGCTAACTCAAAGAGGATAATTTGGTGTCTACACCCTAGTTATACCTGGTGGACTAACCTGCTGTACTATAAGATAAGGAACCTCATCAATGTATGTAGCTATTACTGTAGTTTGATTGGCTGCATATATATAAACTAATAAACCCCCCCTAATGTGTAGAGGATCGATTTGTGAGATTATGAGATTATTGCAGAAATACAGTCCACTTATCATTATACAAATTGCTATCGAAGTATATAAATTAACGTAAATATAAATTCTATATAAATTCATATAAATTAAACAAATATAAATCTCACAGGTCGGTTCCCACATTATTTGGTCATCTTCGAACCGGATGACGGATTATTTGATCCTTTGAACCCACATTTGGTCATCTTAGTACCGGATGAACCAAACCAGTGGATTCATTAAATATACTAGTGCAGTGTTATTTAAACAAGGCTAGCCAGTCAAAGACAGCGGCGAAGCCTCGTGGGAGCTCAGGAGCCTCCCTCAGCCCAGTTCAGCTTCGTCAGCGGTTTCATGCACACCCACAGATATTTGGTGGCGTGTTATTTCGTGAAATGACAGCGCTAATATAGAATCCAGCCAAATTAGTGACTGTGTCTTCGCGAGATTGTTCACGGATTTCGTGGTGTTACATTTCGCGAGAGATTATCTACGAATTTTGTGGAGTTTATTTCGCGAGGTCACTAATAATATTTAATACTTCTAGATAATATTAGAAGTTTCATAGAGGCTAATTAAGAGGCTATTATCAATAATTGTGTATATTATTTCTCCAAAATAGAGAATTATTTAATATATATTGCACTAGTGATCACAGTATAATATTTACTAATTGCCAACCCACAACAGGGTAGGATATTACCATTGACTAGTTGAACTATTATCGTTCATCCTAGTCCCATTATTACCATAGTCAGTTGTACTATATTGAATAACCTAACACCATTAATGAATGGTCCAGACCCTATTTTGGGTGTAATTTTTATCAACTCGAGTTGAGTTGTGTATATATAATAATTTACTTATGATCATTACACCTTTGAGTGATTAATTAGTGTCTCTACCATCCTAGGGTGATATAGAAGAGCTAACCTAAAGGTACTTCCAGTGACACTGGTTTATTACTCAAATCATTAGTGTGTATGATTGTATGTATATAATGTGTATTAATTTTAAGTGCTAACCTCTAGTAGAGGTAGGATTACAGCCTAGCGAGTGCAGAATTTACCCTAGGCTACCATTAGTGTTTGTTCAGTATTATGAGCAGCCCAAGTACAAGCCCCACAAGGCTTCACCAACTAGCCAGGATGGATAATGCAGGGAGAATGAAAAGAACCCTTGCAGGTCTTAAAGGCCACTTAACAAGACAGATCAAGAAATGTGAAGATTTGTCACAACAATCTCAAGTTGATTATGCTGACCTGGAAAGCTATTATCAAGCAGCTGCAGGTAAATTTGAGCAAATCAAATGCCAAATGGCTGTCCTTGTGGGGACAGACTACTACCATCAATTCATTGGTAGCCCTACTAAATATCAGGGCATAACCATGTTAAACTCTGCAGGAGGTAAATTACTCTCAGGCCCAGTATCAAGCCTGAGGAGTCCTATGCCTGCAGATAAACAATACCAGTAGAAATCTAAATTTGTCAGCTGATTATATTTCTCCAGTAGCATTATACTAAGGAGATTACAGCTGACTATACCAACAGAGGTTGATGTTAGTATCATCATTTGAAGCTGAAGATGAGTTCATGAGGCCTCAGTGGCAAATCAGTGAACAGTAGCCTAAAACAGCTACAAGTCACTGCGACCAATGTCACTGAACCCACTGCAGTCTCAGAACCATACTTTACTTTAATGATGAGCTATTCAATCTTCTGAATCAATTAATTAAATTAAACCCCAATAAATCTGATGACTGATTTGATACATTTATTATTTAATCAAGATGTATTCCATGGGCCTCAGTGTTTATATATCAGTGACCAGTTACCTGAAGAAACTTCAAGTTATATCTAATGTCACTGATCTCACTGCAGTCCCTGAATCATACTTGACTGTAGTACTTGATCACATTCAGTCTTCTGGGTTAAATAATATGTAATTAGGCTTGAATATTAGCCTTTCAAGAGTTGACAGGGAAATGAAATCGCATTAGACTTCTAACCCCTGCAACTCTAGTACGGGACATCCGTCCTGTACGAACAGACGCGCAAATGTGTGATTACTAACTATAATTCGAAGGAGGAGTATCGGTGTTCGTCTGTTCTAAATAGGACTTCGACCCGTGAGCAGCCCCCTGGGGAATTATGTCGGAAAATCCGACACCATTTAATAATAATATCATACATACAGATAATAGCTGTATT